TGATTCTACAATCCTTAATTAGAGTTTTGATGATAACAAACACAAAGAACAAATATGCACTCTAAATTTGTGTTGTTTTTTATATAGAAGTTCTGACTGAAACAACATCAGAAGTTAAGCCACAGAAGCCTTCAAGCTAAGCTAATCAGAATGTTCTGAAGAATGACGATCAGAATCTGTGCTAAAGTAAAAGATACTATGATTCTGAACATAAGTCTAATACGCCAACAAATCCTCATATCTCTGAGTCATCAAAGTTCTGAAGTAAAAGCAGCATGCAAGATTCTAAAGTTATGAAGTGTTACTTTTCAATTAAGACAGTATCATATGCAACGGCTTCATTCAGACAAGAATCTTCTCAGTATGGAAAGTGCATTGAGTGTCCATTATCACGTTTTATTTTGGACAAATTTCCACGCCTATATAAACAAGCTTAAAGGATAAATTGTTTACGATTTTTACCAACGACTACTCATACATCTCAAAAAGCTGCAAATATTCACATTCTTTCATATACTCAAATTATGTAATACATCATAGTAGTGATACAATTTTTGTAACGAAAAACATATAGTACACAGTTAATTGTTCTTTGATTAAGATATTGTTCCTTGAGATAAACCGGGTTGTGGTCTTACTCAAGAAGACTTTGGCAGTTGTCAAAGTAGTTGTGTAATCTGTTTGATTAGTGGATTAGGTCCTCGTTAGAGAGAGGCAAAATCACCTTGGCGGGTGGACTTGAGTAGTTTGAGATCAAGCGAACCAGGATAAAAATCTTGAGTCTATTGCATTTGATTTTTAAGTTTCAATTCAAACATGGTCTCTGCACCTCGGTTCAAACTTGAGCCACCTCAGGTGTAACCTTTCCGAACTAGGCACCTCGGTTCATATCTTGACCTGACTCATATGTAACCTTTCGAACACTACACCTCGGTTCAAACTTGAGCCGCCTCAGATGTAATCTTCTAGGTTATGTACTTTAACCAGGCACACTCAAAAGTTGTACCCCTGAGTCGACTAGGGTCAACTTTATAGCCTATGTGTTTTGGCCTAGCCAGGGACTTGGGGCTAGTGCCTATATGACAATATTTCTACATGGAAAATTCGACGCCTAAAGAATGTTTTCAGTCTTCTATGAGCCTATACGGCTATTTAAATCAGAAGTTCTAGGCAATGCCTTAAAAATGAGAGCAAAACAAATGCTTAAAAGACATTATTATGCCTCACAATGATTACTCAAACTGAAGTTCAAAATCCTAAAAAGGGTAGAGTCGGGATGAAATTATCTTCACAAAGAGGCCGACCTATTATTAAGCAACGCCAGGCATATCAAAGAGGATTAAGGCCTTTTTTTCAAAACTAATCACTATGGTTTTTGTCAAAATCACGTGACCAGGGGGCTACCATATATCCATAATCCCCTTACATGCATATGGGCATACAAATAAAATTGGCATGAACGGAAATTGCAAAAGCAAAAGTACGATAAATGATAAGGCCTATAGGCCAATTGTCTAAACAGGTAAAATATTTAAAATCATTACAAAAAGCACTCACCTAAAAAGGGTGATTAACAACAAATTGTTCATAAAAAAAAGGAAAAGACTAAATCACTTGGTCACATCAGCCTGGGAGGTGTCATTGACATCCGCCTCACCTATGACCAGGGACTCATCATCATCTGCTTCCACGTCCACCAACTTACCATCCACAATGGTCTTGAAGAAGTCCACAGAGGAGATATCCAATTCTGGATAGAGGCACAACACCTGATCTTTTGCCCGGTCGAAAGTCATATCCCCATAATTAAGGACATTCATCTGAGACTTCTCTGAAGAATGTTGAAAGTCGATACAATACTTCTTTGCAGCATTCAAATCATCGATAAGTTTGTTCTTGGAGGTCTTAAGATCTTCATTTTCCTTGTATAGAGACTTATTCTTCATGGTTTCTTCGGATAAACTATTTTCCAAAGTTGAACATTTGTCAGCATAAGACTTATTGCTCTCTGTCAGCCATTTAACCTCGTTCTTAAGGCTGGTACACCTTTCCTCCAAGGTCATCCTCGGATTCAAACAGACCATGACCAGCACAGCGCACCACATCAGATAAGAATTTAGGTTCTGAGTAAGCTTCTGATGGCCAATCTTATTTATCTTATTGACATCTTCGGTGGCATTTAGCTGGTCATAGAGGAACTTCATCCCATCAAAGTTGTTGGACCAGAACTTGTTCTCACTAGAGACAAGAACATAGTCGTCGCCAAGTTCCTGCATTAACGCCGAGACCTCCCAGTCTGCCGGGAAAACCTCATCCGTCATCATAGTCTTCAACTTTTTTGGAGATTTTTTAGAAGGTTCTTCAACATCCAGGACGTTCTTAACCGGTGACTAGGGCTCGCCGACGATGGTGCCCGCTATTGGGCCGGTTCCTTTCCTCTTCTTCACCACTCTAAGTTCCAAACCAGTCAAGTCGGATTTGGACTCTGAAGGCCCTCCAGTCCCTTTCTAGGCAGCATGGGCAACAACCATCAATTTCTTTTGTTCTTTGACAGAAAGGTCAATCATCTTATCTGCAAAATTGGAACATGTGAGAAAGAAATAAAAGATCCATAGACGATGAAGAAATAAAAGAAGCCTAGAAAGGTCAGAACCTCCTTGTTCGACAAAGGTAACAGGTCCTTGACCTTGAATAAGTGGAAGGAGTCTAGCACTTACAGAGATTGGGTTTCGGTGTCACTCAATTTTTCATAATTAAACTCGGATATGGGTAAGGGATTTCTAGTCCAGTATAAAGGAAACTTTGAGTGACCATCAGTGGCGTAGATGACTTGAGGGCACCTCGGTCCACACCTAACTCGAAGGAACCGGTCTTTGAAGCCTTTGTAATTGGTGGTATAGGCTTGAAGGAAGCTCTTACGGGGTATACCACTAATGGAAACCCAACTTCCAGATTCTACGTTTTTAACTTCAAAGAAAGAGAAAAACAAACAAATGGTTGGAGTCGCACCCAACGTTGTACAGACCATCTCAAAAGCTTTGATAAAGCCCCAACTGTTAGGGCAAAGTTGAGAGGGGGCCATGTTCACTGTCTTCAACACGTCTACCTCGAAGTCAGTGAAGGGGATGCAGATAAGCATATCCTCTAACACCCTGGCATAAAAATAAAAGAATTTGTCTTGTACTCCTTTTGGCCGGGAAATACAAACATGTTCACCGGGAATGCAAGCCTTCAGAACAACATCATCCTCGTTTCCGGTCGAGGACACCATTCGTAAAGAGAGAAGCTTCACTATATCTGCCTCACCCATGGAGCTTTGTTCATAGACCATCACCTCCTCACTAAAAGAGCCAGAAGTTTCCATCGGGATTTCTACGGAACCTGGTGAGGAAGATTCGGAGTCAGAATCGCTAAAAGAGGCATATATATCCCCATAATCCTCCAGCATAATGCGATCAAATTCCTATCTACCTAATCCTTTTTGACAATTCCTCATACATGCACGCCACATCGCGTATCTCTCTTCAGCATTTTGGGCTTTTAGAATGACACCCTATTCATCACAGTCACGTAAAACTACCATTTCTTAAAACAAAAGGAAATGTGCAGGAAAAATAAAGTGAAGGAAAGAGAAAGATACTTGAAAGCGGTTGTCGTTTGGAAGATTTGAAGAGAGGAATTGGGGGGCACTTGCAAAGGAAAGTAGGAGAGTCTTTTGGGAACAGAAGAGGAAAAGTTTTTATAAAAAAGAGAAGTTATGGGAAGTAATGATTAAAGAAGAGGAAACATGTGTAGGTTTTAAAAATTGCCTTAGTAATGATTACACCTAAAAAACTAGGTGATTGTTGGAAAACTAGGGCGTGAGCGTCACGCACGTTGAAAATAAACCCGACAACCGTCTGATTATAGGAGCCCGACCTGGAGTAAAAGATCAATATTTACGTTGACCGAACATAGGGCTTCAAATAAAGTCATATGCTCGTGGGGCTTATGTTCATACATAGATCCATTGTCGGAGATATGAGAGATAAAAAGGCAAGATATGGACAAAATGCCAAGGAGAACACATAAAAGCTTAGTCGGGTAATACCCCGGTATGAGATCTTCATGCTTGAGTCGGGTTGTATAGTCGGGGGCATCTGTGGTCGCCCATAGAGAAAGATGAAGAGGCACCAGTCGGGCATATACCCAGACATTATCCTTGAGTCTAGATGTTACATAGAGTATACTTTAATGAAGTTGTTACAGAGTGACCAACCCATTAAAGGCATAGGCGCTCATCAATACATGACAACGCACATTATGATAATAGTCATCATTGACAACGGCGGACATTTCTTGCCTTAATGACAACTCAGTTACGTATGATGAAGAGTCACAACAGTTATATGCAGTGATCAATGAACCTCATGCACCTCTATATATAGGACTCTCGACTGAGGGGTAAGCAAGACAAATTACTTGGAGCTCACGCATACTTATATGAACCACCTCTAAATTCCTTAATATCATAAACAATTTATTTTTACTTACTTGAGGCTTTCTTCAATATTCTTCGACTAGCGAGAATTTAATGTTTAGTAAAAACAATTTTAAAAGAATAAAAAAGAGTTACCGTTTAATTGAAAACTATATACTTTTTCTAACCGAAATAAAATGTGTATATTTCTTTCATTATACTAAAATTTATCCCAAAAACAAAAAAAATATAATCACTATTGTATTTTCCGAAAAGTAGTTAAAAAATTTGATAATAATAAAGTACTAGCATATTCACATTGAATTAAATTAAATACAATAAAAAACAAAGAGAAAAAAAGGGTTAGGACTTAGGACAGTGAAACTTAAAAGGAGGAATAAGCAAATGGCATGTACAGTGTACACAATGATAAAATACATGAATATGAAAAGTGAAAACAAATAAAAAAACAATATAAAAAGAAAAAAAATTAAGTAACACCTGGCGCAATATAGCCTAGGCTATAAACAACGCGCACGGGTCAACTCAGCACATGACCGGCGAGTCCAGCCGATGTTCGACCGGCGAGAAGCTCAGCGAGAGCAGTCATAGCACGCACTTGCATCTCCAAGGCAGAAATATAATCAGTAGCTTCTTCTAGAAGATTTGGTAACGGTACTTTGCGGCAGCCGGGAACCAACCGGCCGAGCACGCGTGTTTTCTTCTGCACAGCCGGTAACCTCTCTCTTACGATTCCGGTTCTGTTCAATCCGGTTGCGGCTTTCTTGACTTTTCTGTGGTGTCTATGAAGTTTCTTCCATTTTCCGAGAATCGCGCGGCTCCAGCGTGTTCTTCCTTTGGCGGATTTGGCGAGGACGCGATCGGCGGTTTCGCGGACTTGAGAAGCGGCTCTAGGTTTGGTGGTGGTTGTTGGAGAGTTGATCCGGCTGAGAGCTTCGATTAGTTTTTTGGAGTAGTTGTTCTGGTCGGATTCAGATCTCCACCGCACGAGAGTGAGGGAGTTTTGATCGGCGGTGGTGTCGCCGATTTTGCGGCGTTTTTTGTGATTGGATTCTTGCAAAGTGTGTGATTGTTCGAATGAATCCATTGATGAATTGGAATGGTTGAATTGTTTGAAGATTGAATCGATTGAAGAGTTTTGAATCGAGAATCGACGAAGAAAAAGAGAAGAAGATGAGGATGGTCTTTGTTGTATGGTATAGGAATTGTGAGGAGAAAGGAAGAGAAGAGAGAAAAGAGTATATAACAGCAGTTTTGAGTCACGGGGAACCACGCGTCCTTACCTTACTCACATTTATTTCCCTTGCCCTTTGCATTTCTATTTTTTTTTATTATTATTATTATATATTTTATTTAAAATTTTAATTTCTTTATTTTTGTATTTTAGGAATAACTACCATGACTCCATCTATGAACAAAATTAGGACTGTAATTTTTTTTTAATGAATAATTAACTTTTATTATTTTAAATTGATTTTTAATGTTGCATTACATAGATAATTTTTAAAATTTGCTCCTATTATTATTTGTAATTTTGCAAAATATATTTTTTTTTATAAATGAAAGGCTTATAATTGTTTGCTACTAAAGTGGCTCAACAAATCATGAAAACAATTTGATATCTTCTTTAAAATTTAATTAAGTTTAATTCTATTTAAAAAGTTGATTTTAATGGAAGATCATCCCTATAATGTCAAATTTATCTTATTTAATATGTAATTTGAGTGGTCAGTTAAGGATATTTTGATAGTGGATTATTTAATAAATTATTTATGGACACTAATATCATTTTAAATTTAGATTGAACTTAAGAGTATGTTTTGAATTGATTATATAAGAATTGAGTTTGTTATAAATGATTTTAATAGAATCGAGTTTATTTTTGTTTGGATACGTTTATATGAGTTGAACACTACAAATTTAATTTCGAGTAAAATCAATTATGAAGGCATAATCATTTCAACTTTTAATAAACCAAAAATCTTAAAATCATTCTGAATCAATTTTATATTTTTAAAATTAATTTTAAAGCAACTAGAAGTCAATCCAAACATGCACTAAATTAATCTTACAAAATCAGACTATAAATGAAGATGAAGGTTATCATTTTTTATAAACCATAAACGTAACTTATTATATACTCCGTTTCAAAAAAAAAAATTGTTGTTTTAATAAATAATATTTTTTTTTAAATGATTGTCATTTTCATTTTTTAATAAAAAAAATTATTTATTTTTTTCAATTGTGTCACTTAATTATTATTTTTTACATTTCTTTCAACTTATTAATTTGATAAAAATGAAATATTTTATGATAACATCATTGCATTTTTTAATTAATGTGCAAAAACTTTAAACGACTATCATTTAAAAATAGATTGGATCCCATTTATAAAAAAAAATTATTTTTTTAGATTTATTAAATACATTTTTTTTTAATAAATTAGATCTTAAACTGTTAGAGAAAATTCGGAAGAAAGAAGCATCTTTATTTGAGATACATCTTTGTGAGAGATACGTAATTTCTAAAGTGTTCAATCTTTTATTTTCTAATCAATACATAATTTCTTCCTCAATTTAATTATCAACGCAAAACAATTCAATTAATTAATCTAGACCTCTAAAACAAATTTTGAATTAAGATCAGTTCAAAATCATAAATTTAAAAATTCAGCACCTTTTAAAGATAGTTGAGCTTTATTTTACTATTAGAAACTAGAATTAAACTAGATTTTATTTAGACTGGAACTAAAATAATAGTAATTAAATTAAAACATGAATTTATAGATTGAAACATTATATCTTACAAGGTGAAACTAAAAATAATTACAAAGGATTTTCTTTTAAAAAATATTTTGTTTAATAACGGATAATTTACAAGGTGAAACATTATATCTTACAAGATAAATAAAAAAAATCATCAGCTTCATTTTACTTGAAAATGTTATCTAAATTAAATATATTAATTTGTCTTTAATATTTTTTTAAAAGAGGGAAAAGTTAGACGAAGTGTAGTGAGTTGGATTGGAAGGAAGTTGCCTTTGAGGTTAGGCATAATTAGTTAAGGTATGAGTTTGACTATTTAAATGAAATGAAATGAAAGATTAACAAACGATAATGCTCTTTTAACCTGTTATTAATTAAATAAAGAAAGATAGAGACCTAATATGGCCATTCTCATGAGGAAAGTTTAGGTTTATTTGTTTATACAAGATATATGAACTAGTGGACAACTTGTCCAATTAATTTATTATAATCTCGTGCAGTCCTAACTAATTCGCTAATTATAATATTTTATTTTATTTTTTATATGTCATCAGCTCTTGATCAATCCTATGTTCATATTCTAAATTTTGGTGATTAATTTTGTCAAAAGAAAACTTTGTTTAATATACTATTTTTTTTAGTTATTTATTTTACAGATAGTTTACATAAAAATTTATGTGATTAAATAATTTAAAAAGTTAATTATTATGAGAATACTCTTACTACTGCGCTCAAGTTAAACAAAACTCTTAATTAGGTTGATTAGACACGGGGTACACAAACTATTTCTAATATTTTGAATAATAGAGTCTACTTTATGAAAACATGGCCATCCAATTAAACTCTATTTAGTACTAATACGGATAAGATCATCCATGCTCCCTCAATCATCTTAACTTACTTGCAAAGATAAAGAACCCAAAGATAAGGAGAGAGAAAATTATGGAAAAAAATTTAAAGAAACAAGAAAAGGTTAAAGCATATCCAATTTTTTTATATTTGATAATTTATATATGTAATCTATATATGGATTATATATATATATATATATATATATATATATATATATATATATATATATATATATATATATATATATATATATATATATATATATATATATATATATATATATATATATATATATATATATATATATATATATATATATATATATATATATATATATATATATATATATATATATATATATATTAATGTTCAAATATATTTTTTTTAAAAATCAAATTTATTTATAATTTGTTATAGGAAATATCAGTATTATTTCTTTCTTAATTATATATAATATTTATATAAATTTACAAAAATCAAATAAAATGATTATAATATTAAATTTGTTGATAATTTATATAATTTTATAAATTTAATTTTTATAATAAGATTATTTGGTATTTTTATTAAAATGTTATTAAAAATTATAAAAATGTAACAAAATTAAATGAGGAGGTAGTTTTATTCTTTCAACCTTAAATATAAACCAAATATTTTTATTAATTTTGTTTTTATGAAACCGTCTTTAAAATTTTATATTATTTATTTAATTATGTATCTTAATTAACATACATTGAAAATTGACCGGTCTTCCATTTATTAACTTATACTACATTATTAATAAGAAAAAAAATAATATATTAATTATTAATGTGTTTGAACAATATATATTAAAGATACTATTTATTTAATAAATTTAATAAATTAAAAAAGTTAACTTATGCTTATAAATAAAATAAGAAGTATTTTTTATCAAAAAATTCACAAATATTTTTATATAATTATTTATTATTTTTTACAAGTGACGCATCATTTAAAAATAAAAATATCATCAATTATAAATATAAAAAATATAAAAGACTGATCAAAAATTTTTAAATTTGAAAAAAAGAGAGATTAATTTCATAAATTTGATAATTAAATAATAAAATTATTATTGAAGTTTAATAAAAAAAAACATAATAGATTACTCATTTTATATGAAAAACTAAAACAAGAAGAAATAAATTATACTTTAAAAATTAGGAAAAGAATTTATTTTAAAACAATTTTTACTTATCTATTTTATAAATTCTATTTGTTTTGGACTGGGCCCGCCCTGGCCCAAGAGCAGGAACGAAGGCCCAATCCAAGCAACTCTTCAAGGAGCGCGTGCAGGAGAATTCTCGCCAGCGTGTCGACCAGAAGTTGTAGTCGTGTCCGCCGTTGCCCGCGAACACAGTGTCCTCGACCACCTGAAGTCCAGCTCGAGCACCCTCCTCGTAGGGCAGACTCTAACCGTTACCGAATCACTTGAACTCCGGAAAGACCGCGTCCTCGTCCCTCCTCATTTCTCGCAGAGCATCACCAGGAAGGAGACCACGTGCGGGTCCCCACTACACACGTAGAACCTGGCAGTCCCTTTATTAGGCCAGTCCTGGTCGGCCCAATGAAAGGACCTTGGCCCCGCGCTGGGGGCTATAAATACCCTTTGTTCCTAGAGGGTCAGGTATTCATTCTTTTACCCATACACATATTTTTTTGCCTGCTCGTACCATCACTCATTTTAGCATCGGAGTGCCTTGCAGGTACCCCCCCCCCCCCATCTCACTCAACTTCCGCTTGGAGCCAGTCGTGACGGTCCAAGTCTGATCAGGTAAGATCAGTGGCGCCGTCTGTGGGAATCTAGCTTCCCCGTCTTACAAAACCTCGAAGGCCAAAGCTCAAATCACCTACTACCGTCATGGCTGACCAAGTTCGTGAACCAAAACATCCGCATCGTCGACACCAACAACGGCCTCGCCGATAAGAATGGACTCACCGACAACACCGGTAACCCCGGTCATAACACACTCCCCGGGGGAACCGCCCCCGGGCCCTCAATCCACCGCGACGGAGCTACTGCCTCATCCTCCTCAGTCCCTCCGCCGCTCGAAGAAGACAACGCAGCTCCCACAAACTATCGAGCTGCCCAATTTCAAGAAGTCTTTGTCCCTGTCGGGGCAGATGGCACAACCCACGCGCAGTTCGCGGCGATCAATCAGACGAATTACCTCATCTTCGCCCAGGGGGAAAGATTGAGGGCACTAGAAGACGATCGAAGACCTGCGAGTAACAGAGGGACATCTCCCGTCTCCCCCACGGAGACACTACAGAGACACCTCCCAAAGCCCGTCACCCCGACCCTCGGGGAGACGACCCCCTTTGGAGAGGCAACCCGTCGTTGAAGTTGGGGGACGCGGTCGGGCCCCCACACGACAAGAAAGAAGACACTCTGGAGACGGGCATGGAAGAATCAACCAACGAGCACCACGCTCGAGAGATGCCCAGC